TTGGTAAAAAAGGACATGCAATAATATATTAATTTTTGTAAAAGTCAAATTGCCTTTAAATTCTAAATTTAAAAATATTTCTAATGCTTTTTGCTAAACACTATATTCCACAGATAAGATTTCCAGAACACAGTTGACAGTATCATGAAAGTAAATATATTAATTTCATTAATTTTAAATGCATGATTGTAATTAATTTTAAATTTTTAAATCCATTATTTAGAAAAATAATAAAGATTATGAGAAAGGAAAATAGTAATGTTACAAATAAAAATATAAAACTAATATTTTTGGAATATGAAATTTTTATTTAATATAATCTCTTTTATGGTATTCATATTTTTCGGACGATGGAAATGGGAACAAGATATTTGTTGTCATATTAATAATAATATGACATAATATGTTATATTAATAATAAAGAAATAAATTGTTTGCAATATAATAAAAAGGAAAAAAATGTTAAACTTATTAAATTTATTATTTGTTTTTTCTTCTTCTTCTATCTTAAATATTTTTTATATAAAGTCTAAGAGTTTTGCATTTGATTTTCCTCTATCTTTTCAGAGTTAAATATTGCTTGAATTGATAAAAGTGAATACTTGGTGTTTTTTAAAAATATGTACATGTTGCAAGCATAAGTAAAGGAAGCCAAGACACTTCATATAAATATTGATTCTGAATTATTTATTAAATAACACGATACTAATTGTTATTCATGTTTTCTTTTATAACGTTCAATTTTACTCAAATCTTTCATAGTTCCTTCATCCATATTTATTGACTTTATGTCAATTTATATCGTGATCAGCTTTCTACCTTAATTAATCTTCAGAATACGTTACTGAAGCATTGTAATGGTATGTAGATAGTATTCCGCACATATACAATCATAAATTGATTCGTGACATGAACAGCAATAGCGCAGTTTTATGCTATCCAGCGATTAGTTTAGAGTAGCTCACAATCAGATACATAAAACATTATAGTGTTTTCATTCAATATCGATTCATGTAATATCGATCGTTTGATAATACAGAAATACAGAAATACAGAAATAAAAGAGAGAAAAGAATAACAATTTAACTCTTAATAAAATAGTATAATATAGTTTAACTCTTAATACAAACTTATTATTATATAACTGATTGACGTCAAATAATAATCATATTTATATTTTGTATCTCCACGCAGAATATTGCAGCTCAGCAAATACCAAATAACATGCAACTTACATGCAAGTTATAATTCCCTACAACAATACATGTAATGTATTATAACACATGTGTTATAATGCATTTACATTGTTGAGAAGAAATTGTAACTTGCATGCAAGTTGCATGTTACTTGATGTTTGCTGGGAATATTAAACAGATAAACACATCTCTGAAATAATTCATGGATCTCATATGAAATAAAGATATAAAGAAATCGTGTTCCATGGTAGCAATTGCTATATTGTTCAGAAATGATACAAGCAGATTAAATTGAAGATAGTTATTTTGTTTTCATCTCGTAGAGGAAGAAGTCTTTTTTAATCGATTGGAAGACAGCCTCTTCTGCGAGAACATTAAATTCAATTATTAAGCCGTGTTATAAGTAGATTAAAAGAGAGAAAGAGAGAGACATAGACAGACAATTATCCTTAGGCATGTCTATATGCGGTTTGAGATAAGTATTGCCGTTCTTTTTGCAGTAGTCGTCATCAAGTAGAAAAAAAACACAATCCGCGCATTTAGTGCATAGGTATTTCGTTTCATTTCTCACGGCATTGGCATACTATTCCGTCGCTTTAATGTGGCTGCAAGCTGATGTAGAAGCAAGCTGCAAGCTGATGGAGCATGTGAAATCGCGTGATTAGCGTTAGCAGCACATCCAAAACGAATAAGAGTCACAAGCGGATCTACGGCATAATATTGTATGTAATAGAAATAAGATAAAGGACTGAATTATTTATTTTTTAATTTATATTTGACATAGATAGAAGGGAATAAAGCTAAAGCTTTTTTTTATTTATTTTGCTAAATTAAGGAAGTAAATGATCCTATATATGTATAAGAAGGATTCGTTTAGTTGTGCAAGAACATGGAATATTAATAAAGGCTTTTCCCCAGTGCTCTCGAGAGAAATAATTAATGTAACAAAACATGCATATTTGAAAGTGTGAGTGTATTACGGTGTATCGCGCGATTGTATAAGGAATTTCAACGCTCATGTATAATAACGCAATTTCTAACCCAAAATATAATTTACCCTCAAGACTTCATTACGTTGAAAATATTTTCAGCGAGTTATCGGATAATAACGGATTAAATGATCTATATATGGAAGAGAAAAAGAGAAAAGCAATATTCGCATGTATTTTACTTCCGAGTCGCTCTGTTCGCAATCGTTAGTTCGATCTTAATTCGCGAGTTAATCCCAAACGCCGTATATCAAGATAAAAACATGAATATCTGAAGCTCAGTTTAATAATCTCAAATGGTCAAGGATTTTCATATCTGATGCAGAAAATAGAGAAATGTCGAGAGATTTTGCTGAACTCTCGCAAAGATAATTGATAACTTGTAATATTTAACTTGCTAGACATAGAATGTATTAGGCTACTAGATTTTCTAATGTTAATTCTCATGCATCTTCTTTTCTTCTCCTATCTCATTTGCAATTTATTTAATAATTCGTATTATTCTCTTTTCACTAGCCTGCATGTTACAAATAAACAGTTTACAGATAAATTCCCGTGTGTTTTATACGTAAGTTATTACTCATATGTTAGCACGATAATTGATAAAATACAATGATTCACGTTAATGCATCGGTGCACAGATAACCAATTATTTTAACGGCTTTATTTACTTTGATAAAAATGATATGTTGGTTATTTTTATATACAGATTAAAAATATCCATCGGTTTGCGATTAATTTATTGTTTAATTATTGCATTTTATTTGTTCACATGTGACAGCTTTTTATTACAAATATCGTTTTGCATCAGATTTTTAATGCGCAATGCGTTACATTTATAGGAGACGAGAAGAAAGTCAAAATTATCTTCGTATTTTTATCTACTTTTACTTGAAAACGTGATAAAAACTTTTACGTGATAAAAACAGTACAAAACTTTCTCATTATAACACAAATTATTCTGATTATACCAAAAATTATTTCGCACTTTTCGCACATGTGCTATTTTTCAGGGTGTTCTATTCTTAAAAACGTGAAACGTTCCGAGAATTTTATGCGCAGGCTGATAATCGGATGAGGCGACTTGCTACTTTAACTTGCGATCGACTCCTTAATATGATCTATCATATTAACGCCTCGAGAACGTCTCTTAAAAGTGCAGCCCTGTATCGAATGTATCCCGTAAAACTCTCTCTAAGACTCACAATTAGCTAATGCGTTTTCAGACTTTCCGAGAAGATTCCATTCTCCGGAGATGCGAGAAAAGCCGTCCATTACGAATTTAATTCTGACCAGTTACGGTTTGTTAGCAAAAATACGCTGAGAATAAGTCGGCAATATTGGTTAAAGTAATTCTATTTACGACTACGTTAGATTATCATTTCAACTTACAATTGCGCTTGTAAAATAAAAGTACTTATAAACATGAATGTAACGTGATAGAAAGAATAGACTTTTGCTCTCTCAGGACGACTTTCAAGAGATCTAGTTTCCGTGAAATCGTGTTACATAGACGTTTCAAAAGATACTAGACAGTACAGAAGGTTGTTTTATGAAATGTCAACGGAAATTTTTCTTCTACATATACATATATCAATAGGGTACAAGAGCAAACCAGACGCGAAGAAAATTAATGGTCGATGAATTTCAAAGTAAAACAAAAAAAGATTATTTGATTATTTTTGTGTAAAAAGGGAAGATTATGATATTATGAAACAAATATAATTTCGCGAAAATATGTATATTTCAAAGACAGTTTTGTGTATCAATCACGATAATACAGATAATAATTACAAGGATGCAATTATAAAAATACTTATCGAAGAAGATGAAGTGACAGACGAAAAATCGCGTGTGAATATATGCTGATGCGTCTATCAAAGTGTGCCGAGAATATGCCTATATAAGGGAAGTTTTTATATTCCGTCGCTTTCTCTTCTGTCTTCGGTGCAGAATTTTAAAGCTTTTGTACGTCATAAAAGACGTCTGTGCTTTGGTTATCAATCTCGAGCGAAAAGCATAGAGGCACGAGTAAGAAAATATCGCCTGTGCGTAATAAAAGTTCTTGAGATATCTCATTAGCCGAAAAAAAATATATCAGAGTTAGACATCTGCGAGAACTGTAAAAAAAAATTTATTCGCGGTGTGTTTAGATGTTAAAACTATTACTACTTTAAATATTTTTTTCAGGCACCGTTTGATGAGAAAATTTTAATAAATATTTCTTGATTTTGATTATATACATATATAAGAAATATGAAATTTTGATAATCAGCTAATATCAAAATTTAATAACGACATAGCAAATAACTGTAGTTATTTAAAATTTGTTCTTGAATCAGAAAGATAAAAATTTTGAGAATGTAAAAAAGTAGTTTATAGTTTACCTTTCTTTCACTTATTTCGAATGTCAAGCTTAAATTATTGTTCAACCAATGTTACAGGGTAAAAGAAGATTTTCTAAATAGCTTTTTGATAAAAATTTGATTTGTAGTATAATAATTTTTGTAGTTTCTCGAATAACGTAACTCGATTATATAACTTTTTACCGGCGGTAGCAGAGAATCACGAAATTGTTAACAGTATATAGTGCAATCTTTAAATGTATTTACTTTCTATCTCTAATAACATCGTCGCGATGCGACGAGCAAATGTCATTTGCCACGCGGGATTTTCTCTAATCTTCTTCTTTCAAGCTCGACCGACCATAATCCACAGAGATTTATCGCGGCCAGCCGTTGCAAAAAGCCGAACGCTATCTTTTCTTAAAGGTTAGACATTGCGCGCTGTTGCAGTTAAGGATACTTGCCCTTTTCCTTTGTTCTCTCTACGAAATCACAGAGCTTTTCCTTTGTCGCGTTTACGTAGAATGGAACAGTATATTTCCTTCTTCTCCATGTTGAAGGTGTTTCGACATCTTCAAAAAAGAATGGAAGCAAGCTATAATTTTTTCTATTTTATAAGATAGGCCTCTATATTATTAGTATAATAAAGAATTCAAGTTTCGTTATCATTATATATCAAAATACATATATAAAATAAATCTATGCAAAAAAGTAACAGATTGCCTGAGTCGAAATGGTCAAGTCTGATTTGATAAAATTTTGACCTTAAGCACCGATTTATAAATCTGAACGAAACTTCATCGAAATGATTAAAAATTGACTGCGAGACATAATAGCGTATTGATTTCATTCTATAAATGTATAGCGTTTTAATGCGAGATTCGCTCGAGTTGCCAAATGTTTTTCGATTCCTTCTTCTTCCTTTCTGTTTTTGCCAACCGCATTATCGACGTTTGCATTTTTATCGAGGAAAACCTTAGCAGCCATCAAGGGTTCGAAGAAACCGGTAGCGGTCATTAATCACTTGTACTTTACGAATTCTTTTTTGCACGAAGTACCTATCGATTTAATAAGCGTTTAATAGCTCATTTAAAGCAGTCAGATGTTACTCTCTTTTTTCTCTTTCATTCTTTACTTCTCTTTTTTACTTTTGAATAAGATATTTTATATGTAATATATATATATATATATATAATGTATATAATAGATTAGGTATATATAATACCTTATTAAATCATATTTTGATATTATCTTCTTGTATTTGTATTATTATTGAGAAAAAACACGAGAAAATGTCGTTGTTTTCAAATAAATAAGCAAAATGGAGTAAAGCTTATTATTATCAATGTATCTAATATTGTCAGTATAATGATTTCTTTACCTATACTTTTTATTTTTTGTCTTGGAATTTTATTTTTTACGATACGTTTCCGACGTACAATTTTCGCTGAACTACATTTTAAACAAGACTCATCAAAGGAATCGTCCAAGAAATAACGAAGGATAACGTTTTCGTTGAAACTCGGAACCGCGTAATCATCTCCTCATGTTTGTGCGCAAGTTTTCCTCTCGAGAATTCCTAGTTTCGCGAAGTTTCTCCTTCACTGTCTTTTAAAATTAAGAGCGGACGGATTTACAAAAGAGCACCGTGCGGTACAAAGTTTATGGATTTATCAGACAACATACGCATCGTCCTTTGTTACCGTTTTTACCGTAAAACATCCAGCCTCGTTTATTTTTCGCACAGGCCGAACACGTGCAAGTCGGAATTATGTTGACGAGTCTCATTATCCGCGATTACGAGCAGTAATTTCGAAAAAATTGCCTATACGGATTTGGCCATTAAAACGATATAACGTTCTCGTGGCTACCTAAGAGCCCATTATGATTTGGTCAACGAACACAATCGCGACAATCTTTTATCGTTCAACGCTATTAAAATAAACGAACCGAAATTATGACTGACGTTCTTGCTAATATCGTTGCTCAAATGGTATCATCGGATCCATAAAAATCTGTCGCGCAATGACACGAAATTAAGTCATCCGTAAACGCGGATGACACAGCGATTAAACCTCTACATATTGGATACATTGAATGAATATGGAAAAATAAATATTAATATTAATATCGAGAATAACATGTAAAAAGCTCAGCATATTCAATACATATCAAAATCGATCGCCGATATTCAAAGAAACTGAGGTATACAAAATTTTTTAATATACAAATATTTTTTGTGCGTGTGTTCTAAGCATAAATTTATATATCGCGAAATATGAAAAGTAACCCAGGTAGCAGAGTGACGTCAAATAACGTCTTAATAACGTCTTAATGATGTCTCTAGACGACAATTAGACGTCATTAAGATGTTATTCTGCTACCTAGGTACTACGAGATGTTAATATTAATGAGAGATATGAATTCTGCCAGTCGCCTTCTGCGGTATTAATTTGTTGCGACGAAATAGTTAACTTTATTTCTTCGTCTTTTTAGATTACGTCGAAGTGACTGTACGTATATAAAAAAAGTGCCGCATAATTTTATATAGATGTACTTGTTAATTAATCCATATATGATGTATTCAATTTTTATCTAGATGATCTTTTCAATTGGGATTAAATCGAAATTCGATCGAAGAGTATTTTTCTATTGTTACCGAATTCGTTGACGGCAGACGAAGATGCATATCGAAAACGATTCACGCGCGAATTGGTTATTAAGTTAAAATGGGCAACGCGGCAGATCTACATATATGTGGCGATGTACGTTTAATTGAAAACGTTTGAATGTGTGTGGCGTTTTACGAAAGTCACGAAGAAGTGCTCGCGTCAATAAGGCCTTTCACTCGGCTTAGCGAAGCGGATAAAAAACTTTTTCATTGATGCGTTTTTCTCGCCAGCGACGCACAATGCCTAATCGGACGAAACCTCAATATAGAAACATGTATATTTAGAATGTGCATGAATGTCGAATAATTAAATGATGAAAAGGCATGAGAGAAAACTTCACGAACAATAATACTTGTAATTAAAGAAACAAGGCACACGCAGTTTAAGAAAATGATCCAATTTAATTGTTTTTTCGGGAAATGTTACATATAGAGCAAATAAAAATACTTTGAAAGCATTTTTTGATTATTTTTATTACCGCGGAAAAATATCAATTTGTGTCCAAAATCTCACGTCTTATCGATTTATTAAAAAAAAAAGTAATTTAAAAGTTATAACAAAAAGCACTTTGTATTGATCGTAAAAAAAAAATGGTAAAGCTTTCGCTTTTCAAAAATCCTTTCGGGCATTATTGTGTGACGGTATAGCGGTGACGGGTTTCTATCCGCAGAAGGGTAGTTTGTTCACCCACGGGGAGAACCGGTTTTTTGGCAGCCGGCGTTTTCTCTCATTCACTTTTATCCTCCAGGGCAGCTGTTGAATAATTTTCACATTTTGAGCCGACGCACGTGCTCTCGATCCATCTCAAAACAATTTCAAAGAACCAACACCTTGCTCCCTAGAATAATATGAAAGAGCTGGCAGCTCTGTACTTTACGCAAACACACAATAAATTCTTTAAATAAAGATACGAATTACGTAGAAATAAATTTCTAGAAAAATATTGCAAGCATTACTTTCTCCATAAAGATTGAAAGCGTCGCTTCGCAATAATTTATGAAGAGAAACAATTTAAACGAAAGAATATACCTCTTTTATTATAAGTTTTATTGCACGTATTTATTACACTTATTCTCTTTATTATATAATATTATGGAAAAAATTTAAACTTAATTACGGTGATCTTACGTTAATTAGACATTAATAATATATAATTTATTACTAACCAACAATGGTTTATTGGACGCTTCTAGACTTTCTAGTATTTAATTAAGTGAATACTATTATGTTTATAATTCTATTGTATAAATTTTACCTAATGGCGTACACATTTGGCGAGTCGATAAATGTCGATGGAACATCGGTGTCACTTTACTACTTCAGAGATTTTGATGAAATCAATGATATGGCAAAGGGCATGCAGTTGTGGTCGGTGAATCATAGATAAAGGAATTTATTTTGCGGCGTGCTCTCTTTTATGAGAACTTTCACACGATTCTCGATTAGTCGCCGTCAGTCTGAAAAATTCTGCGTACGCGACCGCTTACGTATGTGTGTGTGTGTCCTCAGAGAATTGCTGGAATTTCAATATACCTCAACATTCGAATAACTCGCTCAAATAATTCGAATGTTTTTATCTTTGAATTATATTTGAGTGAATCCTTCGCGCGTAATCGCACATTCGATGCGAATAAAAACCGCGTAACGACTCTTTTGTACATCTGATATTCGTGTTTTTAGTGGTGTATACAGCTTCAATTAGCAATTCGTGCAACTACGCGGCGCAAGCTATTGCGCGTATTAATTACATTATACTTTTAATCGCGCAATGTCGCGAAAACGTGTATAGCATTGAATAATATAGCGATGGTACGAATAAATAACATTGAATCTTCCAGTGCTTCTCTCTCTCTCTCTTTCTCTATCGCCTGCCTTCACGCAAATTCGTGATTATTCGAAATTATATCTCTGCTTTTTATTATTATGAGAGATGAAATATTCTCTCTTGCAAAAAACAGCGTCGTAAAAAGAAAGTTTTTCAGAGGTAGCGCAAGATGACGTCACAAGCGGAAATTGCGACACGTGCATGTGCTTTTTCTTGGTACATTTTCTACATTTCTCTCTAAAATGTTGAATTAATCTCTAAATTAAATGACATCCTAATTTTTTAGTACTGGCCCGTATGGCCTTCGTTGAATGACGCCCACCTTTTTAAACGATTCTAGATATACATGTATATACGTCAGCCTACACTGTTTATCGAGTATATTTATGACGGTTGTTAATAATTAGTTAAAAGCATGGTTTATCCATAGCTTCCCTCAGCTTCAGAATAGATGGAAATCCAAAGAGATATAGCTCGCGTCAGAACATTTCATTACCTGCTAATAGCCGCCGATGTGCGAATAAAAAAATATATGTAATTCACAATCAAGTCGAGATTCTCTAAAATAAAATTCCGAATCTTTGTAGAGGTAGGTGAAAAATATTGTAGTTATTTAAATGGGCGAGAGCTTTATGGCTAATAATACATTCAGTGAATGCGCAATAAAGCCGTTCACGTAATATGCTAAAATCGTATACAAAACAAATATGGACGTTCCATTTAGAACCGTCTTTGTTAATTGATAAATTTGAATTGGAAAACAGAAATGGTTAGTACTCGGGTTTTTTTATCTGCAATGAATTATTCAGTTGACATATTCATTATTTTAACTTTACACGATATTTGATATTTATGGAATTTTGCATTAAAAAAAATACTAAACAAATTTCAGGGATTAAAAACGAATTTTTTTTAAATAAATAGAAGATATGTGCAAATTTTTTAATGTTTGAGCTTTGTAAATTATTATTTTGCGCAATATAGAAAGAGACACCCCATGACTCGCGACATTTATATATCGTGTTATATTCACAACGACACAGAAATCATTTAAATTTTTTAGAAAAATTTTTAT